ATGGATTAGATATCATAAAATCTCTAATTTTAGTTCCTGCTTGACAATGGAGTCAATACAGTCACAGTACTCACTATATCAGCCAGCGATGTATTTCAGAGGCTTGATACTTCTCTGGTAAAAATCCACTTGATTCCTATTCCTACATTGTTTCAACATTAATTCCCGGTCCTCTCCAATTTATTAAACTAGATTAATGTATTAGTAGGGATGTTACCCAGCCATTCATTTTGTTTTAATACAAAGCTTTGATACCTGCAAACGATGTGTATTCTGTATTCATTTTGTGGTTTTCATACTAGACTAGGTAAACTAATCCAAGTTTCAAATCTACTAAGCCAAGCTGGAGAAAATGAATTCAGTAAATCTGGTATTGTTGGCCAGACACCAATTAAGTAACGAAATGCTGTTGTAAAAACTCACATCATACATCAATGCCCTTCAAGGAGTGAAACCTGAAACCTGCCTGATGTACTCCATTCATGACTAGAGTCCCACTCTACACAGTTAATGCCTTCAGGGGTGAGTACTAAATGCAGCCTTGCTAGCATTTATTATTTTCTTTGGGATGTGGGTTATAAAAAGAGAGAGGCAGACTAAAATGGAGTACATTACATCACATGGAGCCTTGCCAGTAGAGCCCTGAGAATAATCTGCTCATACAACAGTAATGGAAAGAAGGAAAAAAGAACACAGGAGGGGATGGCCATTCAGGCCTTCAACCCTGTTCCGCCGTTTAATTAGATTTGTACCCTAACTCTTTCTATTCACCTTGGTTCAATGTATTCTAATATGTTTACCCAATAAAAATTTATCATCTTAGTTTTGAAATTTTCAATTGATTCTCACTGCCTAGATTTCAACTACCCTTTGTGTGAAATAGAAGGAATAGAGCCAGAGATTGACCTATGGTTCAACAAGTCTGCCCTATCATTTAATAGAACCATGCAGTATGACCTTGGCCTGTGATTCTCTGACCCTGCAACTGAAAAAGAGCTTCTAAAAGCACTGAATGAAGGAAGAATTAATAAGGTGAATCTGTCAGCATGTTTGAGACTTAAATCAATAACAGGGTTTCTCTAATATCCATAAACTGAGACTAAAGCTCAAGTAAAATATCAGCACAGCCTCCAAATCTAAATCACAGCCTATAACCAGCTGCCAATTATACACTTCTGGATATTTTTGTTTTAGGATTAACAAACACTTTACGATTACTTGCAGTGCTGTTAAATAACTTCAAAATAATTTCTAACAAGACTCTCTCAACTTTTTATTTATTATTTCATATATTTTAAATTGTAAAATAAACAGTTATTTCTTTCTCAGATTAAACAACAAAACTAAATTAGACTGACTTGTCAGCTCTGCTTTGAGTCCTGTCAATGGAGAAAACATGAGTTCAGAGGTCCAATTACTGGGATTGCTCAAGGGGACAATACAACATACTGTACCTCAATCGATCTGCATCAGATTTGAGATCCACACAAATAAGTGTTAGCAAATTAAAAAAGTAATTGGTTTCACATTCCATGACTGAAATAAAATATAAAAATGAACAAAAACAGTAAAAAATATTGGACTGCCCTCTGTGGCAAAGAGTGCTGACAAATAACGAACTAACTTTTATTAGACTCCGTGATGCACACGCACAAGGTTACATATGTCACAACTATTATCTCTAATAGCATAAGTACAAATTGTTTTGGCACAATTACCGCAGTCATTCTCAATTTTGAAAAAAAATTGGTTGACTAAACATCTAGTTTTTGTCCTGAAAAATAATCTTCCAGAGGTAAAGGAAGGCATCTGATTGGGTACTGGACACTTTCTCATCTGGTCAGTTCTCATCACTTATATTGTTGACCTATTCACTGGGTCCTTGTCACACAATCAGCACTGCTCAAACGTAAAGTCCCCAAATATTAAAAAACCCTCGCACTTTGCATTGCCCTTCCCGACCACAGTACATTCTGACATGCTTATCAATCAATAACATATCTTTGTGGTGGAGATGGAATGGTAAATCCTCAGAAACACCCTGAAAGGCAGACTCACAAAACAGAACATGCTTCTTATATTGAACAGGTTGGGCTTGTTACACATATTGGTGTATATATTATATACAATATGATAGCAGGAATTTCATTTCATGTTAAATCTTGTTGCCTTATTTTGAAAGGTGATGTTATTTTCAGAGGATTGTGTGTTTTACACGAAATGCTGGAGAGAGGGTCACAGAATACGAAGCAATAACTTAATGTTCACACAGATAGGTTCTGGCTGCATTGTCTGACTGAGAAATGTCTGAAGCTATGCCATATTAGGAAAAGTAAACAGAAAAGTTGTGTTAAGTCAGCTAAACTGAACTTTCCTGAAGCAAACCATTTGACTCAAACTTAACTTTCACTAGAAATAAAATTCAGTGGAAACCCTCACTGCAGGGACAACAGGAGAACAGTGTTCTGAAGAATAGTCACTAGGACCTGAAACATTAACTCTGCTTACTCTCTAGACATGCCACCAGATTTGCTGAGTTTTTCCAGCAATTTCTGCTTTTGTTTCTGATTTCCAGCCTCCACAGTTCTTTTGTTTTCTTTACAACCAATGTATCTTAGGCTGTGATATTTTCAACAAAAAAGAAGAGATCATGCTTTTGTGGGGAGGGAAATAACAAATACCATGAGCCCCTCAGCAGAATCCTCAAATTTCATTCCATGTAAATACTGGGGAGGAGATCTTGTGGTGCAGTGGATAGTCTCTCTGCAGCTGAGCTGGAAGCTCTGGACTCAAGTCCCACTCCAGGGTTTGATACCAAACAGTTTGAGGATCAACTTGTGAAACTCTCCAACACATGCCAATAGCAGGCAGCAAGAGTGGGAGATATTCATGATCAATCACGTGATGGAAAGAACATTGGAGCGTCTATCATTCTTATCCATTGGTCCATGAGTACAACATGCATGTAAAAGTTAATACTGCCACAGCAATTCAGCCACCTTGTTCCCATGCTAACATTTCTGTACTGGGCCATCTGCAATATTCTAATGATGCAAGTTTGAGAAACACCACCTTGTTTTCCGCTTTGGCACTTTACACCCTCTAGGACTCAATATTGAATTCTACAACTTCACAGCCTGACCTCGTGGCAACTGTTCTCATTCTTCTAACATTCTTACCCAATCCAAAATAATACCAAGAGGAAATTCAAGCGGCAATTCATTAACAGTGTGTTTGCCCATCAGTAAAACAGGAGCCATGTAACCAGATTATAGACAAAACAAACCAGAGTCCAATATGGCCTCAAAGAGCTAAATGCTGTGTCATAAATGATGCTAACACTTCTCTCCCCTTCCTAGTAGCTCAAAGCTCAAGATAATATTGTAGGCAGTCCAAAGTGTTCAAGATTATGAAGGAAGCAGATAAAAATTGATCTGACCAAAGTGTACAAAATAACAACACAGAGGCTGGTATCCTGTCACCGAGTCACCCTTTATTTACTTGTGCACAGTCCACTGGCTATGGCCAGTCAGCCCTGAGTCAGTCCCTGAAGTGAAGAGACTTAGAATCCTCTGTTTAGAGATCTTTTTCCTGTGTTACTAAACAACCTGTTCACAGATGTCACTGCACACCTCTGTAGCGGGTGAGACTTGAACCCGGGTCTCTCAGTCCAGGCATAGGGGCACTACAAAGGTACTACATGACGGCCCTCCCCTGTTTATATCTGTCAGTGAGGGTTCCCTGATTGGCCCAGGTGAACAGCCCTAATTAAGGATCTCATAGTCAATAAGATCCACCTGGTTCCAATCATTACAGCGTACATTGTGGATATGTTTTGAGTCCTGCAGCATGCAAAGTAAAAACAAGATGATCTGGAATCAGAAGGAATTATCGGACAATTCTGTAGTGTAGAAACGTCCCTGAAGTGTACAAGATAATTAAATTCAAGAGATAATTAAATGCAATGTTAGAAAAAGAGAGAGAGGAAGCACAGAGACAATTTAAAAATAAGGAATCTTTCACTTAATAAGATAGGGGAACATTTTCTCTTGAGAGTTGACAGCCTCTGAAACTGAGGAGGGAAAGTGATTGAATTTTTAAGTCAGAGGTAGATAAATTCTTCACTAACAAAGAAGCCAGATGTTATGGAAGGTGAGTGGGAACATGGATTTCAGGTTACACCGGAACAGCCATTGTATTTTGTTGACGAGGATTTTATTGAATAGCAGGGCAGGGTAAAGGATCTGAATGGCTTATTCCTGCTTCTAGTTCATATGTTCATAAAGGAAACAGAAAAAGACAGAGCATACTCAGTGGTATGAAAAAATATGGGTATGATCTCCCAAAAAAAATGTTGTGCGTTCGTGGTCTTTTCTGATTCTTATTCTTGTTTGTAAAATGTTGAATTCTTTCAACAGTTCTGGAAAGACTATACATTCAAGATACTTATTCAATCGCTATCTAAATTGATCCTCAGGGAACATTTAATTTACTATAATTATACTTTCCAGTTCAGGAAACAATTATCTATATTTGGATCTGTAATAGTTTCTCAATGCTTATTTGTATCTCAATGCACCATATCACTCCATAGCTCTGCATTGTGGTGAAGAGGCACATTTCTTGTGAAGTTCACTGTCAAATGATTCCATCACCTTTGATAAACCATGTGTTTATTAACTGAAATGCACAGCTAGCAATTAACTGCCGAACGTTGCCATTTAAGGATTCATTAGGCTTAAGGAAAGCTGTGAGCTCACATACTAACATTAGCATTAACTCTGTCTACCCAATGAAATCGGTCAGCAATTGTCCATTACTTCAATATGCCATTCAATAGCCCAACAAAAAAAGGAATCAAAAACTGAAACATCATTTACCAGATGGCAGGTATATTTTCCTGGTCATGGGTAGGTGGGGGAGGGGATTAGGAACAAGTATGAACAAACATATGACTGACACAAATACTAAAGTGGGTATAAAGGATCCTGAAACCTTACCTTTCTGGTTCGTCTTTCCCAATAATCTGCTGGGCTTGTTTTAGTCGTGTTTGTTCTTGTGTCCTATCAGCATCCAGTTCCTGCTCCAGGGAAGAGCTGGTGCTCCCTTCCCTACTCATATTACTACTCCGGCCTGGACTGTTCTCCGCTGAAGCACGGCTTGGCGAGTCAGTGTTCTGTTTTAATGTCTGCAATTTGGCCAGCGGGATGATATCACAGTTCTGAGGCCGATGCCAGACAGTCCTCTGTGTTGTGGCATTGTAATAATAAAACCTAGAGGTATTGGGATCAAAGAGCTCCCACCACTGATTTTCATTGGTGCGCTTTATCCGGACACCTGAAGGTGGATCCCAGACACATTCTCCAGTGGTAAGGTTAGCATACATTCGCTCTCGAGTTCGAGGCTCAATGATCTCCACCCATTCCAGCCTTGGAAAAAAAGAGATAAAAGTTTATAAAATTACACATGTATATATACAGACACATAAACATTAAGTCTTTAAAAAGGATATTCCAGACAGTAGTTTAAAAATTTCAGCACTTTTGTCAAATAACAGCTCCCCATTCAGAAGGGTAGACATTTACAAGTCATTTACTTTGTCGTTTATCCTGGAGTACCTGACATCGAGAGTATAGATATTCCACTACAGAAACCCTGTCCTGAATGACCATTTGAGACCAAATAGCAAGTTGTCATCTCTAACACCATCTGGAGACAAGAAGAATGATTACAAAGTGTTGTCAAATCACAAGATCAGGTGAAGAAATTTAGACAAAACACAAGTTTATGAAATCTAGAAAACTGGAGCACAGAAATAGGCCCAATCTGAATAGGTTTTCTTATTTTTTTAAATTTGTTCATGTGATGTGGCTATCACTGGCTAGGCCAGCATTAATTGGAGAAGGTGGTGGTGAGCTACCTTCACACTCCTCACTTGTGCCTGATTGATAGTAGACGACTACTAGGCAAACAACTGGTGAATTACACACTGCAGAATTCCTAGCCTCTGGCCTGCTGTTACAACCACAATATGCATATGGCAGCCTAGTTTAAATTCTGGTGAATGGTAACTCCCAGGATATTGATAATGGGGGATTCAGTGATGGTAACACCATTGATTGTCAAGGGGTGATGACTAGGTTCTCTAATATTAGGGATGGTCATTATTTAGCATTTACAGGGCACAAATGTTACTCTTCCATGTGATATGGGTGTTGACAGTAAGGCCAGCATTTGCTGTCTGTCCCTAATCACCTTTGAACTGAGTGTCTTTCTAGGCCATTTCAAAAGGGCAGTTCAGAGTCAACCTCATTGTTGAGAGTCTGGAGTCAAATGTAGATCAGAGGGGGTAAGGATGACAGATTTTCTTCCCTAATGAACACTACTGAATTAGAATTAGTAACAGAAATTCCTGGATGAACACAGCAGGTCTGGCAGCATCGGTAGAGAGAAATCAGAGTTAACTTTTTGGGTCCAGTGACCCTTCTTCAGAGCGGAATCAGGTTGGTTTTTATAAGCAGGGTGAGAGTTGTTACAGACACTGACATTAATTTTATATTCCAGATTTGGTAACTGAATTTAAATTCCACCAACTGCTTTGACAGAATTTAAAACAGTGTTTCCAGAGCAATAGACTGGGCATTGGGATTTTAAAAAAATTCATTCATAGGACAGGGGCGTTGCTGACTGACCAGCATTTATTGCCCGTCCATAGTTGCCCTTCAGAAGGTGGTGGTGAGCTGCCTTCTTGAACTGAGGCAGACCATATGCTGTAGGTAGACCCACAATGTCATTCGGATGGGATGCAAGGTGATCAGTTTTTGTTGAGACTTTGTAGCAAATGTTACAACTGCCATGGTGGGATTCAAACCTAGGTCAGTGAACATTAGCTGAGTTTCTGTCCAAAGTTCAGTCTAAAGATGTGCAGATTAGATGGATTGGCCATGCTAAATTGCCCATAGTGTCCAGGGATATGCGGGCTAGGTGGGTTAGCCATGGGAAATGTGGGATTACGGGGATAGGGTAGGGAGCTCCATCTGGGTGGGATGCTCTTTGGAGGGTCAGTGCGGAATCGATGGGCTGAATGGCCTGCTTCTACACTGTAGGGATTCTATGATTCTGGATTAATAGTCTAGCAATAATACCACTAGGCCATCGCCTCCCCCTAGCCTAAGAACACAAGTGAATCAGATTGGTTTTTACAAGCATCAATGATAGTATTCACAGTCATCATCGCTGACACTAATTTTATATTCCAGATTTGTTAACTGAATTCAAATTCCACCAGCTGCTTTGGTAGGATTTGAAACAATCCCCAGAACATTAGCCTGCACCTTGGGATTACTAGCTCATGAATCAATTAAATCTAATCCAACTCTCTTGTTTGGTCTCTATATTCTTTGGTGTTCATTTTTATCAAGCAACTGTCTAATTCCCTTAAAATATTTCACAGATTTGGTGAATTTATTTAACTAAGCAAGGAAGCTGGGGCATGGACGTGGTTTTTTGAGGGGATTTTAGAAGGAAGGCAGTGATGAGGTCTCTGGAACCTCCACAAATATTTAAGCCCAATGGCTGTGAGGTTTACCACAATATAATAGCATTTATAAATAAAGGAAGTACAACAAACATTTGTATTCTGCTTTTGTAATGTTATGTGGAGAAGAACACTTTACTGGAAAGAATTTCAAGAAACTATGAGAATTTTCATATTTATTGGGAAGCTATAGATGTGCAAAAATTCATTTAAGTTTAAACCTTCACTAAATAAAGAAGGAAATAACCTATCCAAACTGGTAAGATGTGCGGGCTTTCACTATTTTTGATTACATAGACAACCACTCCTCCAGTAAAGAAATGGCAAATTGAATGCTTTATTGTGAAAGATGCTTTTTATTTGATCATTCTGGTGAGTACACACTAAACAGCATTGATTTCCTGAATAACTTCCAACATAGCTCCTCATCAGGAGTGCACCAGAAATTCACACTGGTGCATTCACCATGTTTTCCAGCCATTCATTTCAACCGATGGAATAACATGGGAAATGTGCCTGGAATTTCCTAATACACCCTCCCTGCAAGTTAATCTCCATGCCTGGCAAATCTACTTGGAAAATTATCACCTTATGTAAGACATTAAACTAATTTGCCTCGCTATTTTCCACTATAAGACTATAAAACATAGACGTAGGCCAGTTCGCCAAACAAGTCTCATCTGCCATTTGATGAGATGTGGCTGATCTGATAATCCTCAACTCCACTTTCCTGCCTTTTCCCTTCTTGATCAAAGATCTGTTCAGCTTAGCCTTGAATATTTGTACTGACCCAGCCTCGAAAGCTGGCGGTAGCAAAGAATTCTGCAGATTCACAACCCCCAAAGAATATATTCCTGCTCATTATTATCTTAAATGTGCAACCCTGATATTGTGCCCTCTGGTCCAACACTCTTCCATAAGGGGAAGCCTTGCACAATGGCCTCCTGGCATGGCATGGTGACCTCCTGGCCTGGTGCAACAGCCTCTGGTAGCAGCTTCCCGGCATGGCACGGCGTGGTGACCTACCGGCCTAGTGTAGTGGCCTCCCAGCTAATTGCAACAGCCTTCCAGTATGGCATCCTCAGCCCGGCAGTCTGAAGCGATCTCCCAGCCTCATGATCCTCAAGGTGAAGCCTGGTGCAGTCTGGAGCCAGGGTCCAGTGTGGGCTGGAAGCTAGGTGTCAGTGTGGTCTGTTGTTTTGTACTTTTATTTGTGCAATGCTCAACATTATATTTCTCTATTGTTGAAGATCTTGTAACTAAAGAGCTGTACCGAGGTACCTTTGTATCTAAGTTGGTGCTATTAGTGGTGACGTATAAAGTTTTCATTATACTCATTGAGTATATATGACAATAAAGGCTAATTCTAATTCTAATTCTAACCTCTCCACAGCTGTCCTGTCAAGTCTCCTAAGAATTTATATCTTTCAATAAGGCCTCCTCTGATTCTTCTATACTGCAATAAGCACTTATGCAACCTCTCTTTATAAGAGAACCCTCCCATAGCCAGATTAACTTACTGAACCTTCTTTAAACTACTTCCAAGCCAGTATACCTTTCATTTGATTAAGGAAGCAAAACTGTTCACAGTATTCGAGCTGTCTTGTACAGTTTTAGCAAGACCTACCTATTTTTATACCCCATTCCCTTTGAAATAAAAGCCAACATTCCATTTGCCTTTCCTATTAGTTGCTGAATTTCGATGCTAACTTTATATGATTCATGCACTAGGACCCCCAGATTCCTTGGTGTTGCAGCTTCATTTAAATAAGTTTCAGCACTTCTACTCTTCCCACCAAAGAGCATAATCTCACATTTTCCCACATTAAAATCCACCTGCCAAGTTTTTGTACACTTCAATTCTCTTAAAATAATCCTCAGATTTAGCCAATTTATTTAACTAAACAATGAAACTGGGGGTGTATATATCCCTCTGCAGAATCTTTGAGTCATCACTTGCCTTCCACTATTTTTCTGCCTTCCACAAACTTGGCTACAGTACATTCACTTCCCTCATCCAAATCATTAATATATATTATAAATAACTGTGGCCCAGCACTAAGTCCTGTGTTACTTCACTAGTTACAGATTTCCATCTTAAAAATACCCCCTTATCCCAAACTTCTGTCTTCTACTAGTTAGTCTTGATATTTCACGCAGTCAGCTGGGATGGCTTAAATAAAGACTAACATTTTTCTTAAAAATTCATTCATGTGATGAGATGTCATTAGCAAGGCCATTAATAGTTGCCCTCGTGAAGGTGGTGGCGAGCTACTGCAGAGCATGTTCTGTAGGTTATCATAATGGTGTTATGGAGGGGTTTTGAGGGTTTTAATCTTGCAACAGTGAAGGAACAATGATACAGTTCCAAGTCAAGATGGTGGGGGCAGTTTATTAACATCCACAATTTCTCAAGGAGTGCTGCCTTCTAGAATTGTTGATGAATTGGTCCAAATTGCTATTAGGAAGGGACATCTAGAATTTGCAATCAGCAGTGAAGGAATGGCGATACATTTCCAAATCAGAATAGAGTGTGCCTTGAAGTGCAACTTGCAGGTGGTGACATCTTTGCTGCCCTGGTTCTTCATGGTGGCAGAGATTGATTTTAGAAGAGACTTGGCAAGTTGTTGCAGTGTATCTCGGTACACAAAGCTGCCACTGTGCATCAATGGTTGAGGGAGCAAATGCATAAGGTGGTGGTTGGAATGCTGATCAAGCAGGTTCCTTTAACCTGGATAATGTCTAACTCCTTGAGTGGTCTTGCAGTTGCTTTGAAACAGGCAAGTTTCATCACATTCCTGACTTGTGCCATGTATGCATGAGTCAGATGTTGGACAGACTTTCGGAAGTCCATGCAGTAAAGTTGAATGTTTACAGTTTAAATACACTATTACTTCTCAAACTAACATAAAAGTCCTTTCCCCACTCAAACTGCACTGTTTCTGACCCTAATGAAGCTTCTAACTATGTCCAAAAGGGAGCTCTTATTAATTGTGCATTTATATGCCACAACATAAAAACCTATGTCAGTGTCCTTCACTGCACTACAGGAGACCTTAGGTCACATCGTCAAAGTGAGAGTTTAAAGAGTATCATAAAGGAAGAGATAGGGCACAGAGAAAGAGAGGCTTAAAAAGAGCTCTGGCAGCTGAAAGCCATGGTCAAAGATAAGGCAATGAAAAGTGAGGATGTGCAAAAAGCCAGTGTGCGATTTATAGATAGAATGTGGCTGTAAAGTTCTGAGAAGGTCATATGTAGAAAATTTAACATCAACACATTGCTAAAAGGACCAATTTACAGTGGAGCACTGTTTATTCAAACATCATTTATCTGAACCGGCTGGACTCCCCGCACTGCCCTTTGTGAATAATCTTTTCCTCACACTGTACGGGGTTGTGGCACCTAATCGGTCTGGCTTGATACAATGCAGTGCTCAAGTCACATGTGATTTGTTATCCAATGTTGTCACTCATCCACATAGGGTAACTGCGCAACACAAAAGAGCATGGCTGAAGACAGCCGTTTTGTAGCAAATTTATACAACGCAGTCTCACTTCAATAACATGTTGAAAGTCAGCTGTTCATATATGTCAAAACTAATAGGCCTACGCAATAGATATTCCCTCCACTGAGTACACCCTTGACATTGTCTCTTAAATTCTATCACAATGTGGGGAGGAAATTACAATTTCTCTTGTTGTTTCAAAGGCTGCAGCGGGCAGAGACATATTTAAAACAAAACTTTATTGAAATCTCAGGATTTAAACAGACAATATCTATAAACAACGTTGAATTCTCAATATTCAACATATATTTCAGAGATACAGAGCATGGAAACATGGCATTCAGCCCAACAAGTCCATACTACAATGGGTCTCCCACCAATTTGCGCTATCACCATATCCTCTTTTCCATCCTCAGATATTTATCGATATTACTCCATGTAAGATCCACATTTGCCCCACTTTCTGGGCAAAGTAGTTTCTCCTGAAGTAAATAATTTTGTTAGAGGAAAAGGGGAAAAGAACAGCAATGGCTTTTATCACCTCACACAAAAGACACTGAAATGAAGGTGAGTGAATTATGCACAGAGATTCTCAAATAAACCATCTCATTGGATCATTAGAAATGGCACAGAGATAATCTAATACATAAAAGAGGAAGAGCACAGTTTTTTTTTTTTAAATGGTGAGAGCCCAGGTCTTCCTGCTTCACTACAATAGCAGTGATGTGGAGGTGCCAGTGTTGGACTGGGGTTGTCCCTGTCAGAAGTCACATGACCCCCAGGTTATAGTCCAACAGGTTTATTTAAAATCACAAGCTTTTGAAGTGCTGCTCGTTCATCAGGTGATCTGACAAAGGAGCAGCGCTCCAAAAGCTTGTAATTTCAAATAAACCTATTGGACTATAACCTGGTGTCATGTGACTACAATAGCAGTAACCAATAACAACATAAAATTATACTTTTTTAAAGGAATCTGGAAACTCAGCTAAGATTAATTTGCTGCATCGACACAGTATGTAATTAAAGATCTATCTCCAAATCAACACTGGCACTAGTGAGGAGGTGGTGGTATTGATGTAGTCCAGAAACCCAGGCGAGTCTTCAGGGCTTATGCACTTGATTCCCACCATGGCAGATGATGAAACAGAAATTCAATTAAAATCTACAATTAAAAGCTAGCCCTGTGGTGACCACATAACCACTATCAATTGTTGGTAAAAACCATCTTGTTCATAACCTTACATTTTCCCAAACCGTATTTTGTCTGTCACTTCTTCATCCATTCTACTACTTCGAAATGCTGCAGCCAATGTAATGTAGGTAGATCCACAATGCCATTAGAAATGGAGCTCCAAGATTTCACACAGTGATCTGGATGAAGGAACTAAGGGCGTTATTGCTAAGTTTGCAGATGACACAAAGGCAGGTGGAGGGACAAGTAGTATTGAGGAAACAGGGAGGTTGCAAAGGACCTGAACGGGCTAGGAGGGGCAAAGAGCAGCAGATGGAATACAATGTGGGAAAGTGTAAGGTACTTCAATAGCAAGAATAGAGCGCAGACTATTTTCTAAACAGGGAAAGGCTTCAGAAATCTGAAGCACAAAGGAACTTGAGAGACCTAGTTCAGGATTCGCTTAAGGCTAACATGCAGGTTCAGTTAGCAGTTAGGAAGTCAAATGTAATGTTAGCATTAATTTCAAGAGAGACAGAATACAACAGCAGGGATGTACTGCTGAGTAAAAATCCCTCATGGGCACAGTCATCAGCCCCACCAACTTGTTCCAGTTAGATCATGACTGATCTGTACTTCAACTTCATTTATCTGTCTGAACACCATGATCTTTGATACCCAACAAAAACCTAACAATACAGGTACATAATTTTCGACACAGGTGTTGATAACTTCTTTAACATTTACTTGTATACCAGCCCCTAAACTCATGAATAAATCAATCTTGTCAAAAATGCCTAAAGAAGCTGGCTTAGTCAATTTTCAACAGATGTGGCATTAAATTAAAATGACAATATGATGGTCAGCCATATTGGGATGCAAACTATGAAACAGTTAACAAATCTCAGCAGGAGTATTCTCAGGCAGCACCTGAGGGGAGCTGCTTCTGAAATGCAACTTCAGGAACTGAAATCAGATATTTCAGCTAACATAGCTTTAATTTATCCACAAATTGGCTGTCCCTCTTTTTGGATTGGTAGGAAGGTGGTGAAAGAGAGAAAATATCTAATTTCAAAATGCAATTCAAAATAAACTGATTAAAATACATGGATTGAATATCATGAAATTTGTTGGAAGTGGAGAAAATAACAGGTACGTTGTATTTCATTTCATACAGTCTACATATTTTTAATATCAATTTATAGGGAAGAGGCTGGTAATTTTAAATTCTATTACTACCAATTGCAAACCGTACAGCTGCTTGTCTCCCAGCTGATTTGTTTTTGCTTGGTTGAAGACGATACACAGTGTTGTCTGGTATGCAAAATGTCACTTCAAAGGCATTCTTCCTTTGCAATTATTGCAAAGCAAGTCAAAATTGCTCAAAACAGACCACTTGCTTTGTCCTGGAATCAATCAATTTAAACAAAGGGTTTAAGTTGCAAAAAACTGAAAGAACTGTGGATGCTGGAAATCTGAAACAAAAACAGCAATTCCTGCAAAATCTTCAGAACTGAAGAAGGGTCACTGGACCCGAAACATTAACTCTGATTTCTCTCCACAGATGCTGCCAGCAATTTCTGTTTTGCTTTGAGTTGCATGTTTGGATGGGCTTCAGTCTGGTAGTTGCTTGTGATTCAGGAACAATTCAATGAACTTCATTCAATTAAGGAGAACACCCGCCAGCTCCTTGTATCCCAATTTTGAACAGGTGCTGCCTGAGAATACCCCTGCTGAGATTTGTTAACTGTTTCATAGTTTGCATCCCAATATGGCTGACCATCATATTGTCATTTTAATTTAATGCCACATCTGTTGAAAATTGACTAAGCCAGCTTCTTTAGGCATTTTTGACAAGATTGATTTATTCATGAGTTTAGGGGCTGGTATACAAGTAAATGTTAAAGAAGTTATCAACACCTGTATCGAAAATTATGTACCTGTATTGTTAGGTTTTTGTTGGGTAAAGGTACAAAAGGATAGATCACAAGGTAATTACTTACAGATGAGATAGCCTGTTTCGTCCATCTCAGGACATCCATTCCGTTCACACCACTGCAACATCTAGTTAATTTGGATAACAATCCCAGAGTTTCAAGCTATTCAAATGTGTTGGTCAATAACCTTGGGCAGATCTTCCTGTCTTCAGTTTTAAATGTGTCTTTTATGTTTACTTGCCTTAATCTCAATTTAACACAAGATGATTTTCCAAATCATTTCTAACCTCATCTGCCTCCCCAATCATATATATGATGCAGTATGCCTCCTGTTCTCTCTGTATTGGTGCCATGTTGACTTGGACGCAAAAATGATTCTTTTTCTTAAGAAAAAAAAAACTCATCACTATATTTCACAGATTTGCCGAGGTTCGTATTAACAAGAGTTGCTGCACTGTCACAACCATCATTTCCGTACCCAAGGCAGTGTAGTTACACACTCTTAAGCAAATGAATCATGCAATATTGATTTCCTGCTACTGTCTAGTTCTGCTTTTGAGTAACCTGATGCCAAATTTATATCCCACCTAATGTTGTCTCATGATAATATTTATTATTTCACCACATGAACAATAGGAGAATACAAGAGGATTTGTCAATTAAGTGAGCTCATTACAGAATAAAAGATTCCTATTTGACACCTGGGCGGCTTAACATTACCAGTTATTGAATGTATGAAGTTACATAGGACAATACGAGAAGGTCATTCAGTCCCAAGAGCCTGCTTCATCATTCAATTAGATCATGCCTAGTTGTGCATCAACCCAGCGTACCTGTCTTTTTTCTTTATTGCTTGATATCCTTATCTAAGTTGAAGTGGCTAGGTTATTTAACTGCTATGTGGATCTCACCAACAATATCTAATCAAAGGTAGTCATTTCTATTATTATTACAGTAGCAGATTTTAACACCTGACTCCAGCTTATAGACATTGTAGCTAATGGCAGCATTCTGGCCAAGATCTGCTAACTTCCACAGAGTCAATACGGGCAATTCCCCACTTTTGGCAATTCAATAACCTGCTAAGCAAAAGAGGTAATTCCAACTACCGTGAGCTTAAATCAAATCATAAAGCACACCTGATTTCTGGGAAGGAAAAGAAAATGCTTGCTATTCATTGAAAAATGGTAATTCCAGTAATAGAATTTTAATGTCATCGCAAACCGCAGCTCAAAGCGATAGCATGAATTTTCTTTGAGATTATTCTCTTACCATGTTGTAGCACTTTCTGTCTCAGTTTCAAGTTGCATGTCGTAAGACCTGGAAAAGAGTGATTTCATAAAATTACTGAATACACTGTTACCATGCTATTTTCCCATTAACTGTTACAATAAAACCTTTTACACATGCAAAGACTGTTTTAAAAAAATCTTTTGAATAAAATTTCTGCTACGAATAATAGACAATATATGGTTGTGCCTTACCATGGCATTCTTTATCTAACACAATAGTGGGAACACCATTATCAATTCAAGAAGAACCATCATGAAAGGATGGGTAATAAAGGTCAGCTTTGCCAAAATTATTCACAGTACAGGAACTATTTTCATTTCATAAATTTACTTCTGTTTGTTACCTGACATTCATTCATCAGAACCAGAACGTCTGATCCCCAGTGGGGTATGTTGCTGAGAGGAAGTCGTAAGGTATTGTTTCTATGTAGTAAGTAGGAGGGAGATAGAGAAAGAAAATGAATGACTTGCCTTTCATAATCACTGGATGGCTCCAAGTACTTTACATCCAATTAAGTACTTTCAAAGTGCAGCCACTGCTGTTAAGTAGGAAATGTGATAACCAATTTTGGAACAGCAAATTCTCAATTTTGGAACAGCAAATTCCTACAAAAAGCAATGTGAGGATAACCAGATGATGTGGACTTTTGTGATGTTGGTTGAGAGATAAATATTAGCCAGAACACTGGGAGAACTTCCCTTCTATTCTTTGAAATAGCACCATAGGATCTCTTCAAGCGAACTGAGTAGACAGGAGGAAGCTTGTTTCAACGAACTGTATGAAAGACAACATCTCAGACAGTGCAATACTGTCTCGACATTGCATTACAGTGTCAGTGTAGATTTTGTGTGCATGTTCTGCAACAGAACTTAAACATGAGAATTTATGATCCATAGGCAAAAGTGTCCCCAGCTAAGCCACAGCTGACAAAGGACAAACAAGAGCACTCAGGTGACATACAAAACATCAAATAGCTCCATTAAGTCCTGCGAGCACATTCTCAAGTGCAGAGATTAAACCTAAAACATTGCAGTCTATTATAGATTACAAGATTAGAACTGAATTAAAATAGCATTACAAAGAACATAGACTTATTGGTTAAATGACTTCAAGGCCGAATGACAGGCCGTTAAAGAAAAACTTGTACTTCAGTAAAGCATTTCATGTCTTCAGATCATCCCAAAGCATTTTTGCAGCCAATGAAGTACACGTGAAGTTGAGTAACAGTTAAAAAGTAGGATATGCCACAGCCAAAGATCATAGCAAGATTGCACAGTAGCAATGAGATCAATGTAATGATTATTATTAGGTGTTAAGTCAGGAATGATTAACATTCAGGGCACTGGTTCTTCTACATAATGGCACCTCGAAATCTGTGTGTCCACCTGAGACAGCAATTGAGCCTTCAGTTTAAGATCCAATCCAAAAGACCCTGGGAAGTTCAGAATTCCTTGAGCATTAGGTGTCTACACCTAGAATTTTAGGTATCTGAAGTAGGTGTGTACCACTTTCTGTCACCCAATATTTTCCTTTGAATAACATTTGCTTGGTAATATTGCAACAGATGATCAAATTCTGTTAAATTACAATGATTACCATTTGGAAGATTCGGGACGGAATAGGAAATGCCATTAGACAGCCTAGTTAAGTAAGAACAGCTATCAGAAATAAGTGTGCAAATTTCAAATCAGGGTCAAATAGTCACACTGCACAAATTAGTTGAGAAATCTGAAGCAGCTTTTTTCATTTCCTAGACCAGAACTCTATGTTAACCTCCACCTGGACTACAAATGGTGGCAAGTTGTGACTATACGTGTCACAACATCATTGAACTGTCAGGGAAAACGATCACTTGTTTCGAATATTTTATTTTCCTGCTAACTCAGCAGGCCTTAGCCAGGGGTTTCTGGCTGAATGGATAAGAACGTTTCCAGGTTTGAGATTAGTTGGCTCACTTCAGCCAAGATGAAGTGTTGCCAATGTTCTCAGAGCTCTGGAAGGAGGTGGCAGAGAGTCTATAATAGCTCCCACACTTGGCTGCTGTTCAGTGATGCACTCCCATCCAGGTGAGAAATGCACTTGAACTAAAAAAATGCTGGAAATACTCAGCGAGTCCAGGAGCATCTGTGGAGAGACAGAAAGAGAGTTAAAGTCTGTGACCTTTCATCAGGACTTGGACACCAAGTGAGAGCAAGATCAACTTTGGCAGTGGTGCTCTGTTGGTGCAATAGCCTGCCAACATTCACTATGTTCACAAGAAGAATGCTGAGATACCTTAAGCAAGGCTGAAGAGGGTGGCCAGTAACTGTAGAAGTTACCCAGCAGAAGTCGATGCCGTCTGATGAAGCCTTAAGGGGAGAAAATTAGCAAATAAAAAACATTTTAAAGGAAGGACTCTTGCTGCTACTAGTGAGAAGATAAGCTTCTCCTCCTGCAGTGAAGTCACACTGCTCTAGCGTAAGCATGTGGATTAAATAACTGAGGAATGGATACATATGCCAGTCAAAGCACATGAAGTACAGCTTCTACTCAGAACACAGTACGTAATAAAACAAGAAAAGTGAATCTTTGAGCTCGTTTTGTTATCCAATAAGATCATGCCTGATCATCTACCTCAACGTCATCTTCCCTGACAATCCCCCTATCTCTTACCTTCTTCATATCCCAAAATGTATCAATCTCAATCTCATATTCTGGACTAAACAACTGCAAAGCCTTTCAAGTGAAGATATTTTATTTCAGGTCTAAATGGCTGACTTTTTTTTTAAATTCATTCACAGGATGAAGGCATTGCTGTCAAGGCAGCATTTATTGTCATCCCTAATTGCCCAGAGGGTAGTTAAGAGTCAACCGTACTTCTGTGGGTATGGAGTCACATCTAGGCCAGACCAGGTAAGGATGGCAGTTTCCTTCCCTAAAAGACATTAGTGAACCAGATGGGTTTTTGCTGACAATTGACAATGGATTCACGGTCATCATTAGATTCTTAATTCTAGATATTTATTGAATTCAAATTCCACCATCTGCTGTGGTGGGATTCGAACTTGGGTCCCCAGAACGTTATCTGGGCTCAGCAATAATACCACTAGGCCACTGACTCCCCTCTTTTGTCTATGACAGCGGCCCCAAGCTTTAGACCCCGCAGATATCCCAAAAGCATTTCTTTAAAACTTTTTACTTCAATTAGATCACTTTTTTATTAATATATAAAAGCTTCAGGGAATAAAGGCTTAATTTACGTTATCACTCCTCAACTGACAATTCTTTCATCTCATCCCAGGAATCAACTGATGAATCTTCAATGCACTCGCTTCTCTAAGCACAAAGATAAGACAACACATCTTCGGTTCTCTATCCACTTTGTATTACTTAATAACTGCAGTTAGACCTCCTTCCAAATTGCTTGCCATAGCTGTGTGTTAATTTGTTAAGTTTCTGCAATTCCTGTACAAAGTCACGTTGGTCCCTCGGAATCCTAACATTTCCCAGTCAGTCACTTGCAATTTAAAAGATGTTTCACCTTTCTATGCTTTATATCAAACTGCTGCTTTCTCATGAAACATCTGCCTTCCTGCTCGAATTTGTACTGTAGCCATTAAGATTTAAGAAAGGGCACAGACAGCTTCTATGTATCCCAGATGATTTGAGGTATACTTCACCTGAAAGTTTGAACAACGTACAAGTCCAATTACAATGCATGTCCGAGGATGTGACTGACATGTGGCTTTGCAAAGCAATTGCACTGAATGCAGGGCCTGCTGTGTTTACTTTGTCGGATTTTGGATCAAGCAAATCTCAAAGTGAATATTACTTTATCCAGCTGTGACTCTGGAGATTGTCTGTATGAAAACTCTTTCATTATGAGATAGCTGTTTTGTAGGTAACTTACACAAGTAATTGGCTGCATGCTATCAGACAGTTATTGTATTGAATGGATCACAAGTCCTAAATGAGATTTCAGTGTTATTTCAATCTCTGTCTGACCAACTAAAACATAACCCATTCTCTGTACACATTGCTACTTTGTAAATTTCTCTTGGCAATAGCTATCACAAATTGTAATTTCCACTATCACTGAATGTCACAAATATAAACTCACCAAGAGAGACTATTTCTGAACTGTTAACTCATTGCTTACTGTGATGTCTTATTTCTAACAGACTGCTTATTGATGACATTCCTTAAAGAGACCGCTTACACATCAAAGAAAGCGACAGCCTTAGAAACAAAGGATTCTCCCCAGTTTTTGAATATCTATGAGTGGGCAAGGACATCAAAGTGCTACAAAAAAAACAAACATTGTATTGACCGACAGCAGAAATAGTAGGAACTGCAGATGCTGGAGAATTCGAGACAACAAGGTACAGAGCTGGATGAACACAGCAGGACCGACAGCAACTGTATTCCAAAAAGAACCGATGAGAACACCTACATACAGTATTCTCCAGTTACTGACAAGTCATAATACAGAGTATAGCGTTAAAATTGGGGCACATTAGTTCATATCCAGCACAGGATACAAACACAGGTATTAGTTTAGGAGAACTCAGTCAAATATCAACAATGCCAAACAAAAAATACAGGACAGTATTGTAGGGAAAGTCATACTGCAGAAACTCCACCATATTAGGATTCTGAGGAAATGCACAGATCAGCTGAACTCAATTACTGTACCTGAAGATTGGTCACTATATTAATTTTTATACAGGCCGGCATTTTCTATTCATCCCTAATTGCTCTGAAGAAGATGAGTGTGAGCCACTTACTTGAAACACTGCAGTCCTTGTGGCATGTACACCAGCAATGCTGTTAGTATCCCAGAATTTGACCCAGTGACAGTGAAGGAACAGCAAATAGTTCTGAGTTAGGATAGTGTGTGACTTGGAAGGAAGCTTGCAGTTGGTAGTGTTCCCTTGTATTTGCTGTCCTGGTTCTTTGAGGAGGTACAGATCCAGAGTTTGGAAGGTACTGTTGGAAGATCCTTCATTGTAGATGGTAAACACTGCTACCATCATACATCAGC